AAGAAGTACTCCCAACTGCCTCATGGTATCGAGGCCATTGAAAAGCTCTTTCGGCTTGCTGAGAGGCAAATGGCTCGAGTGCAGACTATAAATATCAAGGATTTAAGACAAGTGCAGTGAAACAAGATAACTTGTTGAGGTGAAATAAAATAAAACTTGTTATTCTTCTTCAAACTGTATTGCTTTTTTGATAGACTGAACAGCATAAATTGTGATAATTACAAGCTGTGGCAAAGTTAATACATATAATGAATGAAAATTCCACAACGTTTTTTTTTTTCTTAAAATACAGCAGGCCTTTCACAATCAACTCTCATTAACTAGTGAGTTCAAAGCCTCCGTTTTCTTCAAACGTATCCTTAAGCCTCGGTTACGTGTTACCTCTACGTACAGGCCAATTTGCATGTTCTGATAATAAGCGAATACTTAACAATATCAATATATTCTCTAAAAATGTCTACTTAAATCATAGATAAAAAAAGCCATAATTTTGTTCTTTTTTACCATCAAATCCCAAAAATGAATTATATTTTGCAACCTCAAGACAGTGAAATCGTCTTCTCTCGAAAAGGTAAGAAAGGAAAGCTTTCAACACAAAAATTAGTTAATCCACTTGTCAAAAAACAACTAAAAACATTCCAAGATTAACTGAGGTAGGCAAAATGTGACCCTTGGGCCCGGTTGTTCCAACACAGCGGTCAAGTGTCAGGCATGCGCGAAGGAATTAACGAAACTGGCTTACGACATTCGAAACCTTCCTTTTTGAGAAATATTTCATTCATTAAGTAACAAAGTGATTAGGTATACATCTCAGAGAGGATAAAAATTTGATTTACTAGATGCATGTGCTCTTACGACAACATCTTACACTAACTCGAAATCGTTACTACACATATGATAGTGTCGAACACTCGTGGATCTTGACTTCTGTAGCTTACGGAGTTTCAATTATTACGCGCAAAATTGAAGCGTTCATGGAAATCTGTAAAAAGAAACAAAAGTAGGAAAAGGGAAAACTTCTGACTTTTTGAACACATAGCTTATTCATGCACGGGTATCTTGTTGATTTACTACCCTATTTTCAGTTTAAAAAATAATAATAATACGGTTTTCAAACTCCGTGACTTACTGGCTTGCATTCTTGTTCGTAACTCGTGTGAGAAAACTTAATTCTGACGGCCGGTAAGCACGCCAC